TGACTGACCCGGTGGCCATGTATGTTGTGTTCCAAAACATCTGTGACTGACCCGGTGGCCATGTGTGTTGTGTTCCAAAACATCTGTGACTGACCAGCAACGTGTGTGTTGTGTTCTAATACATCTGTGACTGACCCGGTGGCCATGTGTATATTGTGTTCCAAAACATCTGTGACTGACCAGCGACGTGTCTGTGTTGCATTCCAGGTGCTGATGGACAGGCTCAAGTCGATCGTGCAGAAGCAGCACCCGCTGCACCCCACCCAGAGCGGCCAGATCGACACCTCACACAAGACAGAGTTCTTCAAGTAAGTCCACATTTGTGAGTGTTTTGTAGCACGCAGTTCACAGCTTTCACTGCGCACTTCCTGGAAAGCAGAGAATGTTGCTGGGATATGATCTAGGGTGATCAAGAGTTGTAAAACTTTTAAAAACTCATTGAGTAAGCCGTAGAGCATGGATTTTTACTAAAAGTTAAGACTTAAACATCCCAAATGTCGATCGTCATTTTCAGTTTTAATATTTTAGCATTTTAATAGAGGTGCACTGTTGCGAATAGAACCAACCTTTTACCGCGCGCTCATATGACCTAATGCAGTTGCGAGCGCCGTAAAACTCTTACTAAAACGAAGAAACAATTTTCAGTTGGAAATTACCTCAGTGCACAAGTCTGAGGTTGTACTCATATGACCTAATGTTCTTGCAAGTGCCATGAAACTCTTACTAAAACTAAGCTTAATTTCTGCTATATAAAAGTTGTAGGGTGCGTTGCGGGCCTGACAGGGGGAACCTTTCACACTCTGAGGGATCTTTATTATGCACAGCTTGGTGTTAAGTGGTGAAAGAACATCTTTTATTTTTTTAACGTTAAACTGACATTAAAATTAAAAATCATCTTGTCTTATCTTACAGTTTTTAAAGGACTTAAGTTTTGGTTTCTTTTCTTCTTCATTCCAGGAGTTTGGAGCCTCTTTTGTATGTTCCTTTGCAGCGGAATGTCCTTGCACCTTCAGTACAAACCAACAGGTAAAGTATTTGTTATTGTCGTTACCGGCGTATATGGTGTAGCAGTGAGACGTTTTGTTGTAGCACGCAAGAGATACCAGTTTGATTCCAGAGTTGGGAGACAGTTTATCAAGTGTCCCGGTCTTTACCGCTGGGATGTTGTATCCCTCTTTACCCTGGGATGTTGTATCCCTCTTTTCCCTGGATGTTGTATCCCTCTTTACCATGGGATGTTGTATCCCTCTTTACCATGGGATGTTGTATCCCTCTTTACCCTGATTGGCGCTGACAAAATGTGTTGATGAGTGTGTTAAAAACCCCTCCATTTTTAAATGTTGAAAAATCAGTACATGCATTTTCTGAATCTGGTGCTCCAAGTATATCCCTTTGATTGGTGTAACAATTCTCTCCACTTGTGTCTGTCGCCAGCGTGACTGCGGTAACCACGGCGACCAGCTGCCCCGGCAGTCCCCTCGCTCACCGGGTCACGCCCAACCACACACGCCGAGCCAACGGCCTCAACGGGGCAAAGGTCAAGTTCATCGACGCCAAAGGCTCCTTCGCCGAACACTGCCGCGAGTTTGAGAATGCGCACAGGGTGAGTGGGTGGGTGGTGGGTGCTGCTTGTTTAGGGGGGTGGTTGGTGGGTGCGTGCTTGGGGGGGAGGGGGGGGTGTTGCTAATGTGCTGTACTGTTTGTATAATGGATTGTTTGTCTAGTTGGGGGTGGTTGGTGGGTGTTCTAATGTGTTGAATACTGTTTATGCATGGGTGGGATAGCAGGTGATCTGGGGTGGTTTGCTCTTTCGTTTCTATCGAACATTTATATTCCTTATCCCTTCTCCTTTTTCTTTGTATGTTCCTCTCAAGTAGCACCTGTTAAACCCTTCGTGATGTATGGTTTTTCCAACTTTTACTGCACCCAATTTTTCCGGTAAAATTCTGTTCAAAGATATTGTGGTACAGTTATAAAATCCTGTGCGGTGTACGAAGTAAGGTCCACGCGATTGCCGTAACCAGCTGATTATAGGACGTGCCTTGTGCAGGAAGATGGCATCTTGGCACACATTGTTGGACGTACGGTGTATGGGAGCTGGCACGAGGGGGTTAATTGACAATATTTCTTTAATTTATCTTTCCACGAAGGGGTTAATTGACAATATTTCTTTAATTTATCTTTCCACGAAGGGGTTAATTGACAATATTTCTTTAATTTATCTTTCCACGAAGGGGTTAATTGACAATATTTCTTTAATTTATCATTCCACGAAGGGGCTAATTGACAATATTTCTTTAATTTATCATTCCACGAAGGGGTTAATTGACAATACTTCTTTAATGTATCATTCCTCTCATTGACACATGTTGTGCAATGCAACACCAATAAAGAATTAAGGTCACTTGGCTAAATATTATATGTATCTGAATTCTGTTGCATTTTGTGCTTCTCTGGAGAGTTCCTGTATTGATGTATCTAATGCACACTATTTGTAGTATTTTCACATGGAATACCTATACCTTGTCTTTGAACCCGTGGTTAGTCTGCCTGTTTTTTTCTGGTTTCCGCAGGACCTGATGCAGCGCTTCGAGCAGATGAAGGTCCAGTGCCAGGAATTGCAGCGAGACCTGACGATGCGGCGGTGCCTGGCCAACAAGGAGGAGGTGATGGGGCTCAGCAACAACATAGAGCTTGTTCAAGGTCAGCTGGACACGCACTACAGCACCCTGGAGGGGAAGCTGCCCATGCTGGAGAAGGTAAATGTGTGCGGGTGTCTGAGTGTGTGGGTGTGTAAGTGTGTGTGTATGTGTGCCTGAGTGTGTGGGTGTCTGTGTGTGTGTGTGTGTCTGGGTGTGCGTGTGTCTGAGTGTGTGGGTGTCTGTGTGTGTCTGGGTGTGCGTGTGTCTTAGTGTGTGGGTGTACAAAGTAACACTCGGAAGAAATTCTCTAGTCCACTAATGTAATACTTGAGACCTTTCTTTCTTTCTTGGCGTTGTTTTGTCCTCTACAGGATGTAGCCCTCCAACAACAGCCTCCACTCTGTTTTATCTGCTGTTTTCCCATGTCCAGGTTGCACCCATACTCTCTTTGGTGTCTTCTTGTCATCTCCTTCTTGGTCTCTACCTCTACATCTTTTTCCCTTTCTTACTCTAAAGAATTGTATCAATCCTCAACTGTGACAAAGACTCCTCATGACTTCGGCAAACATAAAAGTTTTGATGTTGTTTTGTTTTGTCTGTCTTATTCCAGCATTGGGAGGAAAGTCTGGAGAGAATCAACAATGAGCAGGATCTGTTCCATGGTAAGTACCTCAGTCTTGTAACACTGTGAAAACTTCTTTTCTTTGTACCACACTCTTTGGTAATTCCTCAAATCTTCAGCACTCATGTAACTCATTTTTGTTGCAAGTATATTATCGTAAAACTCTTATCAGCCACGTTTTTTGTGCAGTATTTAGAAGCTTTGCTGTCACACACAGGAGACCCGAGTTCAATTCTTATTGAGTATGTTGGGCTTTCTGCTAGGCTCTCAGCTCAGGTTGTCCGTAGCAGGCCAGATCGGAAACACGCCTCAAAATTGATTTCAGTTGTGTCGATGGGGGTGGAAAAACATGTATGTTTAGAAAAGAAAAATTACCCCCCGCGGCAGTGCCACTGACTGTAGAGTCTTTAGGCCATTCCCAAAGGGGGGACATTTCTCGTTCAAGGATAGTAGAATTGTAAATGGGCTGATTCATGTCACACTCATAACTGTGCCTGATCTACAACAGGGAACTGCTGCTTTTCTTTCCTGATCCTTACTATTGTCATTTTCCTCTACTTCTTTTGTATGTTTGTCACTCTCTTGTTACCCGCTATTTCCGGGGTTCCTCGAAAGTCGAAGCAGACTTTGTGCTGTTGAAGCTGGAGAGGTGAGCAGTCTAAGTCTGATTCCCTGTAAAGACTTTTCTGTTAACACCCACCCCTTGGCGCTCATGTGACCTTATGCAGTTGCGAGCGCCGTAAAACCTCTACTACAGGGGTATTTTTTAAAAAAAGAAAGAAAGGAAAAAAAACTCACTAAAGTTATGCAGTTGCGAGCACCGTAAAACCTCTACTATAAAAAAAAAACAATTTTAAAGAAAGAAAAAAAAAAGACTGTCACTAAATCTTAAACTAACCGGTGAGAATGTTGCTCCACAGCCCAGCTGCAGGACGTGATGCGTCTGAAGCATGAGAGCCAACACCTGCGGGTCATCGCCTCCCAGCTCACCTCCTTCGTCTCCTCCATCGCAGCTGTCACGGAGAGGCTGGCTCCCAAGTAAGTCACTGGAAGTGTACACACTGTGCACGTTACAAGCACACACACACGCACATGTGTTATATCACAGGCACATGTGGGCATATATTGTACGTACACCGAATAATGTAAAACACACTGGGGGGGGGGGGGGGGGGGGGGGGGGGGGGGTAGATTTCTTTCTTATTTCTCAAAATTTGGTGTAGAGAGGGGTTTATTTTATTGTGATCTTTAGTCTTTGTTGGCACTTATATGACCTAATTGTGTTGTAAGTACCATAAAATGCCTACTTAAATAATCTCTTTCCTGGAGAAACAAAGTGACAGGAAGTTATCTTGTCCCCCCAGGTTGGGTCAGACGTCCCAGAGCTCGGAGCAGGACATGCAGATGGCGTCACTGCTGGAGGAGATCAACGCTGTCCAGCCAGACAGTCAGCAGAGGTACGTGGGTGTGTTTGTGTGTATGTGCGTACCTGTTAGTGTGTATGTGTATGCGTGTTAGTGTGTGGGTGTGGGAGATCAATGCCGTCCAGCCAGACTGTCAGCAGAGGTACGTGGGTGTGTTGGTTCGTGCGCATGTATGTGTGTACCTGTTTGTGGGTGTGTGTGTACTAGAGACGGGCGGGAAGCACTTTTTTCTACCCGAGCGAGAAGCCTGAGAAGCTGACCTATTTCTCGCCGGGACCCCATGAAGAGCTTCTCGTCTCATGACCTATTTCTCTTCTTGAGCTGTTTGACGAGCTGGGATTTCTCTTCTCTCGCCTTTGGACGAGCAGCTCGCTTAGCGAGAAGACCGGCCGTAGCCGGGATCTAAACTAGGCTTGCCCTGTTGCGCAGGCACAAGCGGTGAAGGAAGGTAGGAAGACCTAGGCCCAGGCCACTGAGGTTATAGAGTAAGGTCCTTGGTCTGAGCCCTGAGCCTCACTCGACTCGCCACCCTCTCCTCTCCCTTTCAGTTTCAGGCACAGGACGGCACGGTGGTGGGTAACGCTGTCTGCGTGTCATTTCTCACTGGCTGTGCTGTGCCACTCTTTACGTCGACACCTCTCACTCTCTCACTCTCGTTTGCCAACGAGCGGTATCACTTCTCGGTACCGGCCAGTAGTTTAGTGGCCGGGCAGGGATGGGAAGGGCATTTCTCGCGAGAAACGAATACTCAGCTCTTCTCATGCCCGCTCCTTGTATGTACATATATGTGGGTGTGTGTGTGTGTACCTACATGTGTTTGTGGATGTGTGTATGTGCTTGTACGTGTGTATGTGTAAGTGTGTGGTGCAGACCTTCCAAGTATTTCAATAGCATTGGAACTAATTTTTTTTTGCCAAACAAAGAACCCGGATCAGATTTGCATAAAATCTGATTTCTCACATTTCAAATATTCGGCACTTATATGACATTTGTGCTGCAAGCGCTGCTAAACTTTAACAAAAACTAGGGTTGCTTTTGTCCTGATTTGTGTGTCTGGAAATGAAGCCATTTGTCATGCTAACTTTCCTGTAAGCACAATTCAGTAGCAGCATCTTTGTCTGCGTGTCTCTTTTTTTCCAGAGTTGATGCGATTCGTGGTGCAGAGGAAGAAAGACAGACGATTTTAGCCAGCCGCACGAATCCTCTAGACGATGAGTTGATTAAGACCAAAGGCCTCTTGCGGGCTCCCTCCCTTCGCGACAAGAAAGGAGAGAGGAGGAGGAGAGAGAAGGAGCCTGCGGAAAAGGCGGAGGTGTCGATGGACAGAGAGCGAGACGGGGAGAATGGAAGCCCAAAGACGTCTTCTCCTCCCTCAACGTGCGAGTCTTGTGCCGCAACTGAGGTGGAGGTCAAGGCCTCGGGGGGTCAACAGGGGGAAGTTACTCTGGAAACCGCCAGTGTTGAGATGCCGGACATATGCACGGAATCGCCTCCCTCGAAGCAATGCGAAAACGGGGAGGTGGATGCGTACGTGGTCTTAACGCTAGAGAAAGATTCCGGTGTGCAGTCAAAAACAAATGACTCTGTCACAGAAGACAAAGCGAGGATTAGTGTGGTGGAAGATGTAGAGATTCCAACTGTACGAGAAGAGAAAAGGAATAGAGGAACGGACAAAGACGCAGAGATTCCAACGCTGAGAGAAGAGAAAAGAGAGAAAAGGAACAGAGGAACGGACAAAGACGCAGAGATTCCGACGCTGAGGGAAGAGAAAAGAGAGAAAAGGAACAGAGGAACGGACAAAACCCAAGGAGGCGGGGGAGGTTGTGGGGATGCGTCTTTGAGAACTTCGACGGACGTGGATAGTGAGGTCATTCGCAACCTTCTCAAGGACATTGAGAATGTGAGAAAACGAGATTCGTTGTCCTCCCCGAAGCGACTAGCACAAGGCGGAGATTGTTGTTAAAGGCTGGGCCCTCCACATGTTTGAGTTGTTGCACTTTTCTCATATGTTTCTTCAAAACGGGTACTAAAATGTTTTTTAAAATGCAGGTCAAATTAATGCAAATCTACTTTCCAAAGCCAGTGTCTTATGTCAAAAACACAGATCACGGCGTTGTGATATGATCTTCTCGAATATTTCTACTAGGGTAATTCGCAATAAGTCTCTGATTTATGTTAATCTGTTTGTAAGTTTATATTTTTTATAAATGGCCATTTTCTGGGTTCTTCAGGCTGCTGATAAAGTAGGTAGTTGTATTTGAGGGGGGGAAATCTGTCTTTACTGTTTGACATTATGAACTGTTGAATGAACTGTTGTTTTATCTGCTGCGCTGATAATGTATTCCTGTTTTAGTCAGACGGCCATCAGTGCAGATTTTTGGCATCTGTGATGTAGCGGTTAGGCGCAAGCATCGTGGAAGAATCTGTTTTTTGGCCTCTGTTGTATTCCCGATTTATTTGAGAATTCAAAGTCTCCGTAGTGAGACTAGTAGTTGTTTTCTGTAAGTATGGATGGTGCAGGGTTGTGGGTTACAGTGAGCCATGTTAGCACAGGTTATCTAGTCAAAGCACAACTATATCATGGGGCGACGTGGCGGAGGGGTGTACAGTAGCTCTGTAGTGTGTGTTTTCTGCAGCTCCACAGTGTCAAATGTGAGGGGAGCTGGAAAAAAATGAGTTACTCTTTTTGGCGCTGGCAAAATGGCATAACTCAAGAGCTGTGCCAGACTGCTATTATTAGCCTTTTATTTTATTTTGGTGGTACTGTATATCAATCTTTTGGGAAAACCTAAACAAAAATGTACCTACAGTCACAAAAGAAACGTGCATGGCAAGTTTTACCGTTATCAGATGGTGCATAGTCTAGTTAAAATAGTTTTTTTCCATTTATCTAAAAAGTAGCGAAAATGAGATGTGCAAATTTGCTATGGCAGTAACGATTTGTAGATTTTCAACTGGTACCATTTCTTCAAGATTGATATATCTTATCACTTCTTTATCTATTCTTTTTAATTAATTGTTCAAACACAACGTGTAAATTTGATGTATGTACCGGTGCATCCGCATGGCTAAAATCAAAGAAGTAACTCATAATTTTGTCCGCACATCTCACAAATGACTGTGGTAACAGGGGAAGGATTTGTGTTCTGAATTAGTTTTGTTTTAGTTGGTTTCACAGTTAATATATTATGATATGATGACATGGTTTTGCGTTTGTTTGAAGGTATAATATTCTCTTAGTTTAGATTGTTGTTCACGTAGGGTTTGTTAGGGGGGAGGGGGGGGGGGGAAGTGTTGTGACTTCATCTGAAGTTGATTACATAATAGAAGAAAATTTCTACCCCGTTTTCCTGTGCTTTCATTTCATACTGCAGCTAGTTGATTTTGTATACATTTTATACATATTTTCTGAAGACATGGAAGAATATTTTTATTGGTTCATATTCATAAGCTGAGATGTAATTTTGCATATTTGGAGTATGAGCAAATGTGTGTCCGTGTATGTTTTTATCGTTTGCGTGTGTGTGTCTATCTGTTTGGAAGAGAAAGACGAAGCAAAGGTTAGAATCAGAGAATTGTGGGTGAATAGATTATCTTTAAGTATCTGTGGGTGGTTGGTGGGTGTTGTCTTGGCAGGTGCTCATTTGCCATCCTCCTATTTGTTTATCTTACCATATCTTGAATTTCATGCTGACAAGATTTGGCACTTAACATTCTCATAGTGGGTGGTTGACAGGTGCTTTGATGGGATTTGCTCCTTCTTTTCTATCAAACGTTTATCGTCCTTATGTCATCCTTCTTTACTTTGTATGGTACTCTCTAGTAACGCCTCTAATCTTCTGCCCCTATATGATCTATTTGTGTTGCAAACGCAAAACTCTTACTAAAACTAGGCCAAAACTCAACGTTCTAGTTCGTTATAAAACTACTGCGTGCCCACCTTCTTCTGCTGCCAGCGACACTGCTTTTCAACTTACAATACTCAAGTGTAATCATTATTTATAGCCTATTCAAAGACAGGGAGTGAATGCTCATAGTAAACTTTTCACGTAGACCTTTTTTCTAAAAGAATCATTTACTTCATCATGATTTAAGCACATGGCATTAATAATATTTCCAAGTTCATGGCATTTATTTAGGCATTTTCATAGGATGAAAATGCTCAATGCGTTTTACAAGTACAAGATATATATATTCATAGATTATGATGGCTAAAAACTACACGCAGCATTCACACGCCAGGGTATATATATAAGATAAATACTAATATTATTCAAGTTTTAGAAATGTGATGGCTGCCGTATAATAATCAAGTTTCTTATGTTATGTCGGAAGCGGTACTCTGGAGTATAATTTATCTCCCTCCCTAATCTTACCAATAATTGGAGTTCACTTTTTAACAATGATATTCTCATTTCTTCTCTTTCTCTTATGATGATCTTGCTGTGTATGTTGTTAGAGGATGGCAACTTGCTTATTTACACTACTACCATTGTGGAGACTGCTCCTTCTTTACTCTGGGTGGCCAGCCATTGATGGACTTGTCTGTTTTCTTGAACATGACTGGTCTTGCGTTTTGTATCCTGAAATGAATTGGACTCTTTTTCCTCTTTCGTCTGCAGTTTTCCACGATTTTTTCTCAAGGTGAGCACACCTTTCTGAGATGGTAACCTCTGGACAATAGCTGGTAGTCAAGCAAAATGTCGATGTGGCAAGCAATCCACTTAAATCTGTTTGGCTGCTTGAGTTATTCCTATCAGGAATCGTGAATAACAAGAAAATTGTCAGCCTTGACTGACCATAGCGTTAAACTGCACGTTGATGATGTTGAAAGGTGCTTCTTTGATAGAGCTTTGAGAAAATGTACTAGTAAAAATAGGCTGCCCATAGCTTTTGTCAGCAAAGGTCCAACTAACTGACGGCACAGAGTCATGATTATAGTGTATTCAAACACAGGAAATACAAGCGCTTAGTAAGCTTTTCAAGTAGACCCTTGATATAATTAGGTATTGGAGCTATTTATTCCATCATGCAACGCTCAACACCCGCCATAAATACCATCCCTTTGTTTGTTTGTCTGCCTGTCTGTCTGCCTGTCTGTCTGCTGTCTTGATTTTTGTCAGGGTTAAATTGCCAGTTCTGTGTGAATATAATATATTATGGTATATGCTTATCTCACGCAAATACTGTCTTCAAGAGATTTTCCTCTGTCGTTACGTCATTTCTTGTCTACTTTTCCATCTTTTAAGTCAAGTTCAAGTTTACTCAAGAATATTAATTTTCCTCCCCAACCTTGCCGATAACTGGAGTTCACTATTTCACTATGATATAATATTCTTTATCCCTTTTTATCTTATAAGATTGAAGAATTGTATTTGTACTCTCTCCATTTGTTCTTTACCAGGTTTGGTTTTTTTTTGTAATAGTAGTTTTTCATATCTCTTCACCCGCTTGGCTGAGTTAAGTGATGATTGTTGCTACTATGACATTGAGAGTCCTTCCTTTTTACTTCAGCTCACTTTCTGGACAAGGACATTTTTCGTTATTTGACAAGAGGGGGGAGGGGGGTGGGAACAGTTCAATTCAGTCTCTTTTATTATTACTGGTACAGTTTGTTTACGCATTTTGAAAATTGTTTGGTTTTTTATTTTTTTATTTCTCTGTTGTACCCACATTTGCAGCTTGAGTAGTGCACTTTGTCCTTTGATTAGAACATCGTTACACTTTTCTCTCTAAGAGTTTCAGGCTGGTCCTCCACATGTCCGACTCATCATTAAGATATTTGTTGTTTTATTCAGTCTATCCTCGGCCAGCTGTTCAAGTGTTCTAAAACTAAATATATTTTTTAATTGCAGTTTCATAATCTGTGGTATTGCTTGCGTTTGCTCGATAAATATTTTGTTGAAATTCAAGTAAGTTCTAAATGTTGAAAAGATTTGAAAAGGATGCATGATGTCGGTGCAATTATTTAAAGAATGAAAGTTGTTGTTTTTTTCTCTCTCCTGTAAAATTTTGCTTTCTGGACCTAGTACATTTGAACAGCTTACTGACAATAAATTATGTTTCTGTTTGTATGGATGGTGTAATGTTGACTGCATGTGTGACATTTTTAATGAGGTTGATTGAAAGTCGGTTGAATATTTATTGCCTTGAGTACTCCATTCCAACACGTTGCTCGTAGTAAGTCTGCTGTGCGAGTTGAGTGTGTATATATTACAAGAGTGGAAGTGTGTACATACATATCATTGCTGTTGGTCATTGTTCTCATTCTGGATTCTGAAGGCGTAAATGAGGTGTGGTAACATTCTATAAAAGTCGTTCTAAACATTATTAGGAAATCTGTGAGTGGTTGGCAGGCGCTCTGATTTGATTTATCCTTCTTTCATTTTTTCGAGCATCTTTCGTCTTTATCTCACCTCCTTTTCTTTGTACGTTACTCTTTAGTGACACCCCTAATCATTGGTACTTGTATGATCTAATTAGCATTGCAAGTACTGTATCTCTTACACAAGCTTACAACAAATTTTTTTTAACCTCTCTAGTAACACTGTAATCTCGCGCACTTGTAAGACCTTATTTGTGATGCAAGTGCAGTAACACGTTTTTAAAAAAAACTCAAACTGCAACAACGATCACCTCATTTGACATGATTGCAATCTCTCCGATGGTTTTTTTATTGATGGCTCAACAAGTTGTAGTCACATCCTCCGTTTGTTGTGCAGAGAGTATGGAGTTCGAGTCCTGAACCTGTTGCCCTGTGACTGTCACACGTGTCATATAGATGTTTGGGGGCGGGGGGGGAGAAATTGACTGCCTAGTGTAAGAGTCTTGTCATACGTTGCTTGTCAAAATGGGAGAACATGACAGAGTCTTACTCTAAATCAAAGCAGTTGAAATCTACTTTTGCTCAATAGTAATTGTCCTACTGTGCGGACCAGTCTGACGGATCTCCAACCAGACTATGATGGAGACTATAAGCAGACAGACTGTGGGATGGGTCTTGAGGGGGGGGGGGGGAGCAGAGATGGGACATGTTCAGACTGTAGTGACCCCAACTCTGTGGACAAGGTGTGACAAGCAGCTATTGTCCTTTGCAACAACAAAAAAAAGACCAAAATGTGTACTGTGATAGATGGTAGATGTCTCCTTCTTTCTCCCCGGCATCTACACATTCTGACCTGTGTCAGACATGGCAGGGCAGTGGTCGGTTCTTGTACTCATCAGGTTGTAGTTGAGCATTTTGTTACGGGAGTCACTTCACTTTTGAGCACCAAAGCCTTTATCGCTCTTGTCATTCAGCATTGTTGGGTGTTAAAATTTCAACCCCAAAAAAATGTTTAATCGGGTATGTTGTAGAGTTTGATAAGGCACATGGATTGGTCGTCTGAGTCTCAATTCTCTTCTTGAAATAGCGAAGGAGCTATATGAATTAAACATTTTGTATTAAGATGGCATTCTAAAGGGAATAGAACAATTTTTTGCTTCTTCTGAAAACTTGTATTTTGACATACAACGACGATGAATGACGCCGGCGATATGTACCGTTACTGTCGGCTCGTTTATTGACTTTTTGTGCGTTTGTTTTGCTGTGTGAGTGAAGTTTCCGCGGTGATTTAAGCACGACACATTGTTCATTCATCATAAGTGTCAGTTGTGGCGTGCAGTCTGTTGCACATGTTCTTTTGAGGTGTAAAGTTTTAGCTTTAGTTTTGTCCAGTCCAGCACACACGTAGCGAAACAGACACACATAATGAACAGGTTTTCAAGTCCCGAATTTGTTCTTATACGTGTAAATTCTG